AAAAATCAAAGCAAAATCAAATTAAATTAGACCAAAACAGAAGTAAAATTGCATTAGAAGACTATGAACAAACTGAATTGAAATTTAGGAGTGGAAATGACTCAAACAAATGAGTTTCATCGATTAAAATGATAAACAAACATGATCACACACTACAAACACTAAAGCAACAACTGCAAACACGAAATCAACTCAGAAACCCAGATTAAAAACACTAAATCAGTGACTGAAATAGAATGATACTGGTCCATACCATTCAAATATAAAACAAGATATTGTTAAGAAAACCAAGCAAAAGAACACAATAAACACATTTTTCTACATCTAAGAAACTTTAATGGTAAAGGAAGTCACTCACCTCTGGTTCATTCATTAAGGGCCTTCGCAACTCGAAGTGGTATATTTCTCAGCCCTTAATACCACTAACAATCTTCTTAAACCGCCACACAATCGCCTCACTTGATGCCTGCTAACACTCCAACTACGTCTTACGAGCTGAACCACAAATGTGCCAAATAAAACAAAACAAAAAGAGATTGGGGTTTACCAAGCATTTAACGATTCCATGGATTACCAAGCATTAGGATTTACTTACCAGATGAAGGTACTCTCTCAGCATCCAACTACGCCACCGAATCGAACAATGAGGCCCAATGTTAGTCTTTGATGAAGGAGATTGCTTGGTGAACGAGGGACAACGACAATGCTACGACAGTTCGAGAGATAGAGGGGAAATAAGCAAGGGTTCAAGAGAGCGACAACGATAGTGAAGAGGGCTCGAGAGGGACAACGAAAGTGAAAAGGGCTAGAGAGAAAGAGANGAAAATTAATTTTCTCAAACTGTCCAATCGGACAATTCAAAATTTAACACAAACGATTAAAAGATTAATCATTTGTGTTAAATTTCAAACGGGAACTAAGGGTCACTCAATGATTTGATACTTATAATCTAACATGAAAATTATAATAACACAACTAATACATGCATATTCAAAAGCCAATAACACATGTAGACTTTAAAGTCAAAAACATGCATACACAAAACCCTATAAAAAAATTATTAACGAAGAAACTAACCTGAAGAGCAGACTCGAAATGAAAATAGAGGGAAATGGAGGAGTGCACGACCTAAAACGTAGGCCGAAAAATGTCGCCCAAGAACACGCAACAAACTGGACCAAAACGCACCGAAAACGATTTTTAATCGGTCCAAATGAAAGATATTTCATCACTGAACAATTTAATCGGAATAAAAGTAAGATTAAATGGTGCAAAACAGATAAAAACCAACCTGGAAATGCAAGGCGCAGAGGGAAAACGCGAGGAAGACAATGAACAGTGAGCGTAACTTCTCGTGGGTTCGCGTTTTGGTATATATGCCCTTAGACGTCCGTTGCTGGGGAGCCCCGACGTCTATACTACTATAGACGTCGGGGCAGTCACTAATATGACGTCTTCTGATTTTAAATATTGAATTTCGCGGGGGATTTTAAACGTCTGTTAGAGGGGGCCGAACGTCTATAATATTATAGACGTCCGGCCCCCTCCAGAACGGACGTCTAAAAGGCTAACAGGGTAGTTGAAGAGTTAATTGCGTTCAGCTTCTTAGACGTCCGTTCTAGAGTGGTTCAAACTCGCTACTGAACTTTTAGGAAACTTTGTTTACTGATTTTAAATGTGTGAAAACTCTGAAGTAAGTTAAAAACCACTTGCAACACAAATTCACAATTCATTTCCAATTTTAACTCAAAATGTGATGGTATAGAAGACAACTACACTTAGGCCAAAATATCACTAATTGAACTTTGCTAGCATCCTTTAAACATTATTTTAGACTTATTGAAACTGTGAAACAACACAAAAAGGCTACCATTCGAAATCAAACCTTTCATGTGGGGAAAAATGTAGAAAATCACTCCATCACACCACCAAAATTAGGTTTCATTGTTTCAAAAGCTTAAGCAACATTGAAACAAACATAAGGAAGTATAAATGCACTGAAAGCTAGAACAATGAAGCTTAGCATGATTAAACTCAGATTACATAAGTCGAAGATGTAAGCACGGTGAAAAGCTTGATTGAATACTAAAATAGAGAAATGGCTACTGGTTTTGAGTAACCAAGATATACATATTGCATTTCATTGCTTGTTTTGGTTTGTTGCACCTTTAGATATCTTCCACAACATTAAACAATGTTGTACAACGCACGAAAATATAAATCTTCAACTGAAAACAGATTCAAAAGCTTAAACTAGAATTTCCATTTGAAGCAGATTTTAAAACCATAATTAATGTTTTAGTGCTTCAGCTTATATCACCAAGGCTACAACATGTTCTCATTGCCTTAATTGGTTGATATATGGCTTTCACAAGACTTTAAATTCAAGCAAATCAAAAATCAAAGCAAAATCAAATTAAATTAGACCAAAACAGAAGTAAAATTGCATTAGAAGACTATGAACAAACTGAATTGAAATTTAGGAGTGGAAATGACTCAAACAAATGAGTTTCATCGATTAAAATGATAAACAAACATGATCACACACTACAAACACTAAAGCAACAACTGCAAACACGAAATCAACTCAGAAACCCAGATTAAAAACACTAAATCAGTGACTGAAATAGAATGATACTGGTCCATACCATTCAAATATAAAACAAGATATTGTTAAGAAAACCAAGCAAAAGAACACAATAAACACATTTTTCTACATCTAAGAAACTTTAATGGTAAAGGAAGTCACTCACCTCTGGTTCATTCATTAAGGGCCTTCGCAACTCGAAGTGGTATATTTCTCAGCCCTTAATACCACTAACAATCTTCTTAAACCGCCACACAATCGCCTCACTTGATGCCTGCTAACACTCCAACTACGTCTTACGAGCTGAACCACAAATGTGCCAAATAAAACAAAACAAAAAGAGATTGGGGTTTACCAAGCATTTAACGATTCCATGGATTACCAAGCATTAGGATTTACTTACCAGATGAAGGTACTCTCTCAGCATCCAACTACGCCACCGAATCGAACAATGAGGCCCAATGTTAGTCTTTGATGAAGGAGATTGCTTGGTGAACGAGGGACAACGACAATGCTACGACAGTTCGAGAGATAGAGGGGAAATAAGCAAGGGTTCAAGAGAGCGACAACGATAGTGAAGAGGGCTCGAGAGGGACAACGAAAGTGAAAAGGGCTAGAGAGAAAGAGATGAAATCGCGAGGGTTCGAGAGAGATCAAAGTGCGAGGGTTTGAGGAAAAGAGAAAAGCTCGAGGGTTCTGAGAAGAGTGAACAGGCTTCGAGGTTGGCTTCCATCTAATCAGAACCTACACCATTTTTATTAAATAAATTATTTTTGCAATCTGTATAACAAAGGTGGCTAACACGTGGTTCTATTAACATATGGATAATGTGAATTATATAATGATCTTATCCTTGGATAATTTTCCCGCCACCACGTGCCAACTTTACATACGACTTTGACATACGAATTTGCCGTATGTAAAAATCTGTATGTAATATGTAACTTATAAATGGATTAGAATTTGTATTTAATGATTCGTATGTAACTGCAATACTTCTTATAGTGTATCCTGTTGGGCTAAACTTTGGGCTGCAATTGGTTTTCATTTTTTTTCTTTGTTGTTTCACCTTGCACTTCCAAACATTTGATCTGCACCTCCAATTTTCAAAAATAGTCTTAGAAGTTACATTTTTCTTCATCAGATTTCGAAATCCGATGAAAGATTTTTTAAAAACTTCATCAGATCTCGATATCTGACGAAGAAAATGAAAAATCCTACATCAAATTTCGAAATTCGATAAAGAAAAAAATCCTAAAAATAAAAATAAAATATTAATTAGAGTCTTTTAAAAAAATAAAAAAAATATTTTTTAAGCTTTAAATTCTAAAAAGAACATTTAAATGTACACATTCGTGCAAGCATATGGTCAATACAATTTGTTGTTTTAGCTTTTAGAGGTTCCAATGCTGTAGACATAATTAACAGTGTATAAAATCAGCTTTGAAAATATAACTATTTTAATTTTTTTATTTAGTTATAAGTTTTTTTTTTTCAAATTTCATATAAAATATTGAGTAGAAAATTATTCATATAAAAGTGTAAAAGAAAGTAAGTTTGAGATTAGTAGATAAAAATAAAACCAGTATAATAGTTGGTGGAAGTTAAAGATATCACTGTGTCTTGATTATCTTAGAAACGTTGGAAGGTAATCATCTCAGCACAATTACTTTCTTTCCATCTGTCTTATTTTTTAATATTGAATACTTACAAGTCAACTGTTTTGTTTTGCTGAGTAAAACCTATTCATATTTTGTTATATGTTGACAAGAGTTGGAAAATATAGAATAAAAGATGTTTGACATAAAAAAATAATAAATAAATAAATTAAATTAAATAACGAGAAGCTTGAAAATTAAGAAAAGAAAGTAAAACAATTCTTTTAACATAAAGGATTAAAATAGCAAAAATGCGATACTATTCAGAGAATCTGAACTAAAATAAAGAAATAAATAATGATTAAAAAAATTAAATACATAATTGATTTTTGACAACATTTTATATGAATAAAAGATTAGAGATATGAAGATCTCTATAGTCTTTAAAGAAACATTTAATTATGAAATGGGTGGAAGAGATTTGTTAGGTAGTATCATATGCATAATGAAATCTTCTGAGAAGATGTGCATTGTGTGATGGGTCTCCTGGTAAATATTAATAATAGGTGAAAAGTTCCAAGAAATATTTTAGTTTTTGGAAAACTAATTAAGAATCTGATTGGTGGAACATAAAGTTGTGTTTTTGGAATGATAAGGTTTGGTTTACCAATGTCAATGGGTGGCTCAAGATAACATTTTCATTGGATTTTAGGGTTACTTCTTTGAAGAAGCTGAAGCATTATTCAGTTTTGCTATAAAATGCATTCCATTTACCAAAGTATTATTGTATCCATTGTGTATATGAGTTCAAAACAATGACAGACAGAATAAGCAGTTTACCAGATGAAGTGTTATGTCAGATTCTTTCTTTTCTCCCAACCAAAATATCTGTTTCAACAAGCATTCTCTCAAAGAGGTGGAAACCTCTCTGGTTTTCAGTTCCTGCTATTGATTTCTACTTTCCATATAACTATTTGGATAAATCCTTACCTACTTTTTCTTCCATGTGCACTTTCATTCTTTCCCGGAATTCAGCACAGTCCATCCAAAGATTTCGCCTCACAATTTCTCATCCGAAAATGCTTGAACATTATCAGATAGAGTCATTTATTACAGCTGCTTTGTTGTTAGCACACAGTGTTGAACATCTTGATCTTGATCTTAATTTACATTCTCCTATTCTTATTTCATATAACCTACTTTTCTGCAAAACTCTTAGGGTTCTCAAATTGAATCATGTGACATTAACAACACCCTCTTCGGCTGATCTTCCCTTACTTAAAGTCCTGCATCTTCACAGTATTCATATTTTAGAACAATCCCGTAATCATCTTCAACAAATGCTTTCTGCATGTCCTAATGTTGAGGACTTGAAAGTCAAGGATGTACTTTTTGGTGGCTATGACGTTATAAACGAGTTTAAACTATTGCCTAATTTGGTTAGGGCTGTTATTGAAAAAGATACAGTTCCTTTGAAAGTGGTTGAAAATGTTCAGTTTCTTAGCATACAGATGAAGGTAATGTTTCATTTCTTGTCCAATGGAAAATCGTTATATAGACCCTAAACAAAAAAAATAGTTTTGAAATTTTCTGTGATAAAACCCTTGTAGGTCAGCGAGGGAAAGACTGATGTCCCAATTCCTGTGTTTCATAATTTAACTCACTTTGAACTCAAGAGTTATTATTGTTGTGATCTTAATCCTTCAATATACTGGGATGATGTATTTGAATTGGTGAAGCATTGTCCCAAGCTTCAAAATCTTTCTATTGACAAGGTTTGTTGAATTCTATACTTATGTTTTTTTTTTCTTTTTTTACTCATCTCTCTTGAATTTATTTTACCTTGTTCCCATTGTTAATAGGGCGTGCAATTTTTCGGTGTGTACCCATTGTCTACCTTTTATGATTGGCCTTCTCGACAGTGTGTTCCCATATGCATCTCATTGACTCTCAGAACATGTCTTCTAAATAATTATACGGGAAATCATTGGGAGTTTGAATTGGCTAAGTATATTATGAAGAATGCAAAATTTCTGAAGGATATGATAATCTGCTATGACGCACAAAAGGTGAAGGTTGCCACCATAGAACGACTATCATTATGTTCCAGGCTCTCTCCTACTTGTAACCTTTCATTTAGACAATTTTAAGGATGCTCCTTTGTTGTTTATATATTTTTTTGCTTAAAATTATGGTTGTTTTTGTTTCAAATTGGCCTAACTGACTAGACAATATGCATTATGTATTGATCATTGATTAGATTATATAATATGTAATTTATGTACACAACTATATATACTTTACTATAAATATTCATCTATTATTTATAATTTGTAAAATATATTTATTTCATGTATTTAAAATTTACAATAAATAAATGCTTATATATATATATATATATATATATATATATATATATATTATATGTAATATCTTCTTCTGATATATATTTATATATAGAAATATTAGCATGCTAATTTTATAAATCTCTCTGTAGTATAAAGTAGGCCATCATTTTTATTAACTTCACATGGTTAACAAAGAAATAGGCTGACATATTATTAGAGAAAAGGTTCAACAAGATCCATTAAAATCCTTTCAATTCATTCCAATATGCGATTTTTAGTGTCATGTTGTAAACCAAAATGGTTAGTTGAGTCAGTTACAATGTTGAGTTATAAATACCTTTTAGCTTCTGTTTTTGAATGTGAATAATACAAAATATATTTTTCATCTTTATGAGCACATAAAGATCTATGTGGGGAGACTGTGTGTGATCAAGAACAAGGGTCCAGGGAAAGAAACCCAGTGAGGGAAATTTGCTTCAAGTGGTCATAGTTCTGTTTTGTTGGAACAAGGTGTAGAAGGAATTTCCAGGTCTTGATCAAGAATTGAACATGGTAGGGTTTGAAGGAACGATACAAGGTTACTTCAGTTTTTTATGGCAAGATGTTTGATGATTAACGCATCAAGATAAAAGCCATATTTGGTTTCTAGGTTTGACTGAATTGAACTCAAAAGCCATTGATGAAGACAAAAGAACTCACAAAATGCAGCAGAAACTGGATAATAAGGCACATTTTCTTCTCTATTAGTGTATTAGTTCAAAGATCTTTAACAAGATTTCAAAGGCTGCCACTGTTAAAGAAAAATGGAAGATATTGGTGAAAACTTATGGGGATGGTGAAAAAAAATAAGAAAGTGAGGCGACACACTTTGAGAAGACAATTTGAAATCTTAACCATGGATGAAAGTGAAATTATGGCAAAATATTTTGATAAGATACATGAACTTATCAATGCTATAAGGGCATGCAAAGATGACATTACAGACAAGATTCTGAGAACTCTGACTCCAAAATTTGATCATGTGGTTGTGGCTATTGAGGATGGAGCCATGAACAAACCGAAAGATAGATCTCATATGGAACAATATGATACTATAAATTAAGATGTTGTAAAGTTAATGGCTAGTGTACAGTAAGATATTTATTGGATAAAATATCTTAGATATTTTAAGCAGTTAAGGTTATAAACAACCAACCGGATTTTCAGATAATTTGTTTATATTTTATTGGGCTTATATCAGCTCAGGATCCATGAAGTAAATTATAAATACAAAGTCAGGGCCAAAAGCCAGGTACGTTCCACTTACGCATTATTCACTCTACGCTACTCTCAAATACTCAATAGTGATAATCATTCACTAAACATTCAACTAAGAGCCGAGGCTCCTCAAAATCACACGCCTAACTTGAGCGTCGGAATATCTTTTGCAGGTACATCCTCCCACGTCAAGAAGAAGACCGATCGGTTTGTGCCAACACCGATAGGCCAATAGCAGGAGTTTGAAAGCGAGCGAGCGGCCCAGACATGTCAACAGGTTAGTCTTTCGGTCCCAAAATTATCCACCGAAACAACTAGTATAAATGAAAATCAGTCAAATGATAAAGAATCGTTATGGTGATAAAAGATTATTTTTAACGTTTGTCCACTATTTTAAAAATTATATAAATAAATATATATATATATATATATATATATATATATATATATATATATATATATATATATATATATATATATATATATATATATATATATATATATATATAGTAATTATATATATATATATATATTTATATATAGAAATATTAGCATGCTAATTATATAAATCTCTCTGTAGTATAAAGTAGGCCATCATTTTTATTAACTTCACATTGTTAACAAAGAAATAGGCTGCCATATTACTAGAGAAAAAGGTTCAATAAGATCCATTAAACTCGTTGTGAATAATAAAAAAAATAAAAATTACTAATGTAAGTTTCATTAATATAAGCATTTAAATCGAGTAGTTAAGATCATTACAAAATAACATATGATTTGTTTGCTAGGTAATAATTTTGTACGAGACATCTATTTTAGGTTTTTCTTTAAATTTTCTATATTTTAAAAAGTTGATTTGTTTAGAATGTTTTATACTCTCATCACGATGAGTGTGAATATTATATATAAGTTGATAATTTATGAATATAGTGGTGTACGATGTTATTTCAAGTATGATATGAAGGTGATAACAAATCGTGATTGTTGGTATATAGTACAAATGTTTGGCTTAATTCAATTGGCCTCCTCTTACTCTCATTCTTGTTCAGCTTTGACACAAACCTATTGCTTTATTTTTTTTATTTTTAATTGTTTTATACTTTGAAAGCATATTTCTAAAATATAAACTTTGGTTGAGAATTGAAGCCTAAATTCCTCTTTTTTTATGTTATCTATATATGCTTCAGTTGTAGAATTGAAGTATAAGAGACCTTCTCCCTACACCATCACATCCTTCTTTCTATACTCTCCCTTCCCAATTTACCCTTGGCAGACATTTAAACTTGGTGGTTAAAAAATATTGCTTTTAACCAACATTGAGCAACATCATTTAAAGTCGTCCCCACTATATAAATGCACCCTCACACCACGAAAATCGCATTTCGTGTTGTTTCTCTTCAATGTGTTATCCTTCTCGTTTGTGGTGGTGCTTCTTTGTGGTGGGTGAGAGTTTGGTGATGTAAAGAGGTGGTCATGTGGTAGTGGTGCTGGTGCAAAAAGGTGGTCCAACGGTGGTGGTCTGGTGGCAGTGGTGGTGATAGTAGAAGGAGGTCGTCTCAGATGCGAAAATAAGATGGAGAACCCTTCAACGGATATAAAAATCCGTCAACGAACATAAACATCAATTGAAGGGGAAGGGAATGTCCTTATCTGTTTTCCCTCAACGGATGTTGATATCCGTTGACGAATTTTCATATTCGTTGAAGAGTTCTCCATTTGTTAGTTTATAATTTTAGAATATTAGTTTAATGTTATTAATTTTACATTACTTATGAAGTTGGTTTAATAATTTAAATATTATATGGATATATATTTATGTTTTTATAGTTTTTAATTTGTTTAATAATTTTGTAATGATATAAAAAAATAAAGTTAATCTGAATTATACCCTTCAACATATGTGCACATTCGTCAACAGATATCAGCATATGTTGAATGGCTAACGGATATGGGCATTTGTTTCCCCTTCAATGGATGTTGATATACGTTGGCGGATGTACACATACGTTGAAGTGTATAATCCAGCTTAACTTTAGTATTTTTTATAATGTTAGTATATACACTAGTACAGTCAAGGGAAACGACAGCGGTTATTTTCGATCATAGACAGCGGTTCTGGAACCGAGACATATACAGGCGAGGTAAAAAGTCTATCATTTTTACCTCGGTTGTGGACCGAGGCAAAAGGGATAGGATTCTGCCTCGGTTCAAAAGTAACCGAGGCAGTAGGATTTTACCCTTTTTTTTAAAAAAATGACTTTTCGCCTCGGTTCTCTTTTGAACCGAGGCAGTATGTTCAAAAATTCAACAAAAAAAAAATCTAGCTAATTTCTTAACATTATTTGCAGCAGAATTATTAAAACATAAAAATCTTGTAAAATTAGTAATTTCTTAACATTATTTGCACCTATATACTTATTTCATCATAACATCAAATAATATATATATATATATATATATATATATAAAAGAGCCACTGGAAAATTAACATCATTAATATAAGCAACTATAAGCAACTATAACATCATTAATATTATGACTTTATACCAAAAGTATAAATATAAGACAAAATGAGCCACTGGAAAATTAACAGGTTATGCAAGGAAGAACCAAAATGATGAAAATTAAACCAGAACACAAGTATAAGAACACATCATGATTTTCTATTGGAAAAAATAAGGACAACGGATGAAAATCCCATCATTTTCAAGTTAAAACAATTTATAGTAACATCTTCACATACTCTTTTCACGAAAGGCATCATGAGACCAAACAAAGCCTTATCACAATGGATTTAGAATCTGTCCTGTGAAAATCCAGCTTCTTCAAGTTTCTTGATGACCAGATCAAGATCATCCGCAACTCCTTTCACAGTTGTACCTGCAATTGTTGTAAGGGTTAGAATGAACAAGGTAAGAGGAAGGGAGAATGGAATGGAAGAGAGAGAAGCAATGATAAAGAAACTTACCTATGTTATGTCCACGGGGTTAACCTTCTCAGCCGCATTTGCATTTTTGTCAAGTGAAAGGCAAAACAATTTCACTTGGGCTTTGGAAAGGCCTAAAGGTTCATTTATGACATCTGAGGATGAACCTAAAGTCTTTGTCAATGACCGAGACTTGGCTTTGATGAATGCCATTGCAAATGTTTTCCCTGAGTCATATCAGATGTTATGTTGGCTCCCCATCCTTAAAAATGTTAAAGCTAAATGCAAAATGTTAGTTAATTCTACTGATGCTTGGGATGTGTTGATGGAGGCATGGGAAAACATGATGCAATAGATATGCTTGGGCAGCATACTCCCATTGTTGCGCTTCACACCACTAAAGATAAATTTGTCTCAGCCAGCTAAGCTTGACTTTCAACCCCGTGCTTCTTCCATCTCAACATCAGTCGTGTCATGATCAACTCCAAGAAGCTTGACTAGGGCTACACGAGCTTCTTCAAACTCGAACTCCTCCACATACTAGAATTGTCCCAACATTGGGAGGTGAAGCAACCTTGTGACATCGTCAAGAGTAACAAACATCTCACCTATAGGAAGATGAAAACTACTAGTCTCAAAATGCCATTTCTCAATGAATCCAAGCAATAAGCCCTTATTAACGTACTCATACACTAGTAAAAAAAGGGGATATTAATGCGCCATTTATGCTTCGATTACTAAACACCGAAGCATAAAATGGGGTAGTGGCATTTTTAAAATTTTTGCAAATGTATATGCCTAGGTTTTGAAAGAACCGAAGCCGTAGATCGTCTGTGGCCTCGGTTGAGAGGGGAACTGAGGCCATACACCCCTTGCGCCTACTAACACTCCCTGCCCTCTACTCTTAAACTGCCAACGTTTGGGAAAAAGGTCTATGGCCTTGGTTCCCTACAAAACTAAGGTCATACACGCCCTGCAAAAATTGACATTCCTTTTTTGGAACCTGACGTAGTCTTTGTGCAGATGATATGGCCTCGGTTACCGAGGCCATAGACCCCCTGCCCTCACTAACACTTTGTCTGCCCTCACTCTGTTCAGCTGCCAACCTTTTAGGGAAATGGTCTATGGCCTTGGTTCCCTACAACACCGAGGCCATAAACCCTATTTTGACTCCCCTTTGAATTAATTGAAATATTTAATAAATATTTTGTGGGTTTTGGACTCGGTTTGGTAGGAACCGAGGCCAAAAAGTTGAGCAAAAAATTTCAAAACTGCCATTATATATTTAATTCAAATTTTTTTTAACTAGCTTTCGGCCTTGGTTAAGTGGACAACCGAGGCCATAGCCCCCCTATTGCCTCGGTCATTCAATGAATCGAGGTAGTAACATTTAAGTAGGTTTAAAAAATATAACAGAGAGTGAACAATTTTGTCTTCTTCGTGAAACGAAATTGTTCAAACTCTCTACATTTCCACCGATCATATTTTATTTCGATTGTCGCTGTTACCTTTGTGATCATTTTGGAAGCATTTGCACCGAACAAAATCGGTTTTGAAGCATTATTGTGTTGTCACGGTCGCCGTGGTTTCTTCATATTTTTTTTCGCGTTTTTGGATTGGTTTTGTACGTTTTTTGATTATTTTGTTGCATTTTTTATTTTTTTGATGATGAGACTTACATTTTATTATATTTGTGTGTAGGGATTGTGATTTTGCTGTGAAATTTATTACATTCCAAAACGCGGGTAGTTGTATCTTCTCCTTTATTGTCTCTTTTTTCACGCTTCCAGGTTCTATTATTGTATTTATTAATATTTTTTTGTTAATTTTTAATTTTTTGTATGTTGAATATATATAATTATGTACAATTGAAAATTTGAATTGATCATTTGAATGCTTATTAATTGTATGATTGAATTGCTTGTATGTTGAATATGTATAATTGTATGATTGTATTATTGTAATTTTGTACAATATTGTAGAATATTTACGTATGGATCGAAATTGGATTATTTACCACGCATTAGTGTTGAGTACGAGAGATGGGTAGAAGAATTTATACAATTTGCACAACGTAATGAGAGTAGAAGTGATGATGAAGTGAAGTTTAGACGTCCTTGTGTGAACTGTTTGAATGGGAGAAAGTTGAACGCAATCCAAATTAGGGAACATCTTATCTGTGATGGTTTCCCACGATGTTATACAACATGAATATGACACAATGAAGAAATACACTTTCCGACTATCTCCAAACTCAAAATGTTATTGATTTGGCCATGGAAGAAGATCGACCACATTAAGACAAATTAGAGGACATGATTTGCATGTTGGTGTGGAAAATTTTGCCAAAGCTCATGTGTATGGGACGATGTCGACTGATGCATAAACACCTTTGTATGTCGGTCCAACTAAGTTCACACGATTGTCAGCGATGTTAAGGCTCATGAATTTGAAGGCGGCAAATGGATGGACTAATAAGAGTTTCATAGAATTATTAATGTTGTTGAATGAAATGTTGCCAGATGGAAATACACTACCCACTCGTAATTATGATGCGAAGAAAATTCTTTGTCTGGTGTATGAAGTATAAAAGGATACATGCTTATCCCAATGACTGCATTTTATATGGGAAAGAGTTCGAATTTTTGAAAAAGTGTCCAAAATGTGGGTTATCACACTACAAGTCAAAAAACAATAGTGAAGATAATGGTCAGGTTGAAAAAAATGGATTTGCTATGAAAGTAGTTTTGTAGCTTCTAATTGTGCCCAGACTTAATCGTTTGTTTACGAATCCAAAACATGCAAAAAACCTTAAATGACATGCAAATGAGAGAAAAATTGACGGCCTGCTTTGTTATCCAGTTAATTCAAAGCAATGGAAAAATATTGATAAACAATTCCTAAATTGGTCAAGAATGTAGAAATCTCAGGCTTGGTTTAGCCACTGATGGAATGAACCCATTTGGTAATTTAAGTACCAATCACAGTTGTTGGCTAATTATTTTGATAATTTACAACTTATCTCCTGCATTGTGCATGAAGAGGAAGTACATGATATTGTTTATGATGATATTTGGTCCAAAGTAGCCTGGAAATGACATAGATGTTTATCTAAGCCCACTAGTTGAAGATTTGAAGTTGTTGTGGGTTGATGGGGTTAAAATATTTGGTGCCTTCGCTTCTGAAACTTTTATGATGCATGCAATGTTATTTTGCACCATTAATGACTTTCCTGCTTATGGTAATTTGTCAGGATACAATGTCAAGGGTCATAAAGTTGGTCTTATATGTGAAGAAAACACTACAACATAACAATTGAAACATGGAAGGAAGACGGTCTATCTGCATCATCAGAGATTTTTAAAATGTAATCATGCATATCGAAGGTTAAAAAACACATTCAATTGATATCAAGAGAGGGACGAAGCAAGAAATCCACTTACTGGCCTTCAAATCCTTGAAACAGTTAATAAAATACATCATGTATTTGGGAAAACTTCCAATAAGTCATTTGTAACGACCCCTTGGAAGAAGAAATCAATATTCTTTGATCTTTCATACTGGTCAAAGTTAGATGTTAGACATTGCATAAATGTGATGCATGTAGAGAATAATGTATGTGATAGCTTGATTGGTACACTACTCAACATTCAGGGAAAGACAAAAGATGGAGTGAATGCTCGTTTGGATTTGGTTGACATGAAGATCCGAGAAGAGTTGGCACCCAAGAAGATTAGTAAACGTACTTATTTGCCCCCTGCATGTTACACAATGTCCAGACAAGAGAAGATAAGTTTTTGCCTTTGTTTAAAGAGTATCAAGGTACTACAAGGATACTCTTCAAATATGAAGAGTTTAGTGTCGATGCAGGACTTAACGCTTGTTGGCATGAACAAGTTGTGTTCATTTTTCTCGTCAATTATCAAAAATGTTGGCATGAACAAGTTGCGTTCACAATTGTTATCGGTTGCTATTCGTGGAATTTTGCCAAAAATGTTAGGCAGACCATAAACAGGTTGTGTTCATTTTTCTTGTCAATTTGTTGTAAAGTCATCGATCCTACAAAGTTAGATGAACTTCAAGGCGAGATTGTTATCATCTTGTGTCAACTAGAGGTGTTTTTCCCTCCATCTTTTTCTGACATCATGGTACTTTTACTTGTTTATTTGGTTAGAGAAATCAAGTTGTGAACACCGATATACTTAAGATGGATGTATCCTATTGAGTGTATCATCCGAAAGGTTCAATGATTGAAAGGTATATGTTAACTCATTGACAAGTGTACCAAATCACTCAAGTAATATAAAATGGTAAGACCAAGTATTGTTTCCCAAGAGACTCGTGTTTACTTAACAGTTGTGTAATACCTTAATTAATTAAGACTTAAAAGCTATTTTGTTGGTGTTTAAATGCAAATGCAACAAAAGTAAATATGAATGTAAATTGATCAATTGAGGCTTGATACAAGAATGAATGGATGAGGTTGATAATATGAGATAATGATGTTATTGGGGTTAGATTTCACCTACTTCACTTTCATGCATATTAGAATTCATCTTCTTCATTGGAATGTTAATGTCACTTTCTAAATTACATAGAACCCGATGTCTGGGCTTAAAATGCCTAGTTTTGATTCTTAGACAACAAACCCTTGAAAACCCTAACAATCAATTCCGCATTAAGAAAAGAAGCTTAAGACAACCAAACGTCCTATCCCTATCCCTAGGCAATATTACCTTTAGATAAAATCCTCTAGATCATGATTCATAAGATATTTTCCAATACTCAAATAAATCAAACATCAAGTCATGAGTGGCCAAAACATAACAAGCATTAAGAACAAGAGAAAATCATTAACATTCAATGAAAAAAACATAAAATGTTTAAACCATATTCAAATACATGAAAGTTTAAAGGTTACATCATCCCCAATAACAAATGAGTTTAGTTCTCCACTGTCATGGAGAACCTTAGCTTACACTGGAAGAATGAATGAATGGAAACCCTAGAAAGTGAGAAGGAAAGTGTATTTATGTGCTTCATTCGTCCAAAGATTTGAACCCTAGAGTGTAGAAACCCTTAAATAGAACAAAATTGGATCATAGGCCAACATTGCTAGCGCTCAGCGCCCCAACTAATGGCGCCCACGCGTGACTGCGAAGATACTGGCCCTCAACGTCCTACTGAGGGTAGCCTGGTGTCCTGCGGTGTGATTTGCTGGCGCTTAATGCCCTTGGTGAGGGCGCCCAAGCGTGCTTACGAGGATAGTGGCGCTTAGGGCCGTAAATGGGGGCAATCAGGCCTATGGTTCTTCTTCAGCCTTCTTTCGGTCTTTTTTCCCAATGCTTATGTTGT